AGTTGCTTTGATCAATAGTAGTAAGAAAGCAATAGATTCGAACTGCTATGTGATTATCTGAGATCAGATGAGTACAGCAACTCAGTTTAGTATTTCTGTTTGTCCAGCATACTTGGAAGTGATTTAAGTCTTTTCTGATAAAATGTGAAAATAATATTTAAAGTATTATTCTCTAAGCCCTGGTATGAGAGTCTGTTCACTCGGATTTTGAAATATGTGAGTAAACTATTACTACCTTTATTATTACTGGTAAACATTCCAGAATCATATGTAGATTTTTTTTCTTACCATTTGGCACTAAAGGGGAAAGCAGTATGTCTGCTTATCTTTTTAAATTACAAATTTTATTTTTGAAATAAAGATTTATTGTCCCAGAGAATTCAGAAATTATTTTTGTTTTTATGTGGATGAAAATGATTTAAATTTTAGTAAATATCAATGAATATCCAGTGTGGTTCTCCGTAGGATGAATGTTCTTATACTGAAAACCTGGTACCTTGAGGGTAGATGAGATGGGAGTAATGGAGTGTTCTGTTTCTAAAGGCCATTTCTGACTGAAATAATTTCCAGGATAGAGTGATCTTCTTGACTCATTCACATTCATTTTATTTCTAGTTCCTTCAGACCCACAGCTTCATGATAAATTAGTCATAAGATGGTATGAATAGGAAGTAACCAGTAACTAAGGTAACAGAGGAAAGCAATATTTTTCTTTTTTTTATGGATAATCCTCTTTCTATGCATAATCCTTTTTTCTATGGATAATTCTGAAAGTCATTTTATGGCAAAAATTTAATTATCACAATTCTGTCTTAATATTGATTTCTGCACTGTTTTTCTGAATGCTCTTCTTTCTATATGCTTACGATGAATCTGTCACAGTTTTTTTTTTTTTTTTAATCTCACACAATCTGTTTTGTTGAGCCAAGGTGGTAGATGGTGTTATCATTTAATGAAATGGGAAACCCTGAAGAAAGAGCAGATATGAAGCAGGGGTCAAGAATTCCTTTTTGTATTGGTTATTTTTGAGAGACATCTGAGATGAACATGTGGAAATGTCAAATATGCAGTTGGATATATGGATCAGGAACTGAGAGTTAGTCACTGAGTAAACGTGAATCATGTTAGTAAATTAGCTGCCTGGGCAAAGAATGTGGAGTGGGATGCGAAGGTGATCCTAGTCCATTTCCTGAGGAATTACAGTGTTTCCAGGGTATTGAAAAAAAGCAGCAAAGGAAATTGGAGTAAAATAAAATGAGTGTATGGTGTTACAGAAGCTAAAGACTCAAATAGGAGAGTGGTCACCTGTGACATGCTGCAGAGAGATCAAATAAGATAATGACTGATGGATCTGTTAGCAAAGTAGACACCATTACTGACTTTATTGACCATTGCTGATTTTCAATGGGATTTTTTTAGAATAAAGATGCTAGTTGAGTAAATAATGCTAATTTACTTTTTAATAAATTGGTTTATAATTTTTCATATAGTAAAATTCGCTCTTTTTCATGTAGAGTTCTGAGATTAAAAAATGTATAGAGTTGTGTAACCATCACCACAATCCAGATAAAGAGTAGTTAGATAACCCACCCTCCCCAGCACACACACACACATACACACTCTTCCCATGTGATGCCTCTTTGTAGTCAGCCTCTCCCCTATCCCTAACTCCTTGCACCCACTAATTTCTTCTCCTTTCCTTTTAGTTTTACCTTTTCCAGAATAACATATAAATGGAATCCTACAGAATGTAGCCTTTTGAATCTTGCTCCTTTTCTTTACAATGTGTTTGGGATTCATCCATGTTGTTGAATGTATCAATATATTATTCTTTTTAATTGCTGAGTGATATCTTCCTTTACCCCCAACCAGTTGAACCAATTATCTTAATTCTTTACCTACAGTTTTGCTTTATTCAAAGTATCTTATACATGAAGTCATATAATATTTAGCCTTTTGGATTTGTCTTCTTTCAGTTAGCAGAAATGCTTTTAAGATTCATCGATGTTGTTACAAGTATCAACAGTTCTTTTTATTGATGAGTAAAAAGTAGTATTCTGTTTATCCACTCATCAGTTGAAGACCATCTTGATTGTTTCTGATTTATGACAATGATAAAGCTGCTGTAAAAATGTATGTACAGATTTGTGTCTTAATATGTTTCCAATGATTTCAGGTTAATGTTCTCTGTTTTCTGGTCTCCATGATTTCTTATGAGAAATCTGCAGTCTTTCAGTTTGGTGTTCCCCTTTGTGTAATGTGTGGTTTTTCTCTCACTCCTTTCAATATTTTTTACCAATTTTTCCTTTGGTTTAAAGTAGTTTACTTAAGACGTGTCTTGGGGTGGATTTCTTTAATTTTATTCTGTTTGGGGTTTACTGACCTTCTTGAAACTGTATTTTTTTTTTCAAATTTGGAAAATGTTCAGCCATTATTTATCTTGAAAATACAGCTTTAGTGAGATAAAATTCACATAGCATATAATTCACTCATTTAAAATATACAGTCCAATACTTTTTATTATATTCACAAATATATACAACTATCACAACAGTGAATTTTAAAAGTTCATCACATCAAAAAGGAACATTGTACCCTTTAGCTATGACCTGTGTCTCCACATACCTCACCCCTAACCAAACATTAGTCTGCTTTCTGTCTCTATACATTTCCCTGTTTTCATTATTTCATATGAATGGGATTGGCTTTATTTTGTTAAGTGATTTTCTCAGTATTACTCTGTTATTTTATGGGATGTTAATGACATGGGTTTTAGAATGTCTGATAGTGTTTCATATGTATCTGAGGCTCTGTTTATTTTTCATCATTTTCACTGTCTTCATATTGGATGACATCTGTTAATCTGTCTTAAACTTTATTTCCTCAGCCACCTCCATTCTTTTATTGAGCCTATCCATTATTTTTAAAAGTTTTCATATATTATGAGTTTTAGTTCTAGAATTACTTTTTTTTATAGTTTTTATTTCTCTGCTGAGAACCTTTTATCATTTCATTCAGGTGTGTTTATTTTTATCCAGAAAAGCATAGTTATAATAGCTGCTTTAAGATTCTTGTCAGATAGTTCAACTTTGGAGCCATCTTGGAGTTGATACTTGTTGATGATTTGTTTGTTTGTTTCAGCAGGCAGTCTACCTAGTTAGGTTGACTCCAGAGTTATGTCTTGTCCTCTCTGGATAATGGTTCCAATGTTAATTCAGTTTTCGGAGAGTTTGGGTCAGCACTCTGCATGTGCCACTCATTGGATGTGCTAATTCTGTGGTTAGTCTGAGACGAGCAATTATCGGTATTGTAGTTCAGTACTCAAAGACTTTGTTATGTTTCTTTAGGCTTTTCTGCACACATACAGTTTGTTGTTGTGACCAGGACTTGTGTTGGTTCATACACAGAATTAGGGATCTGCTGTCTTCATTCTGTCGTCTCTGATTTCTTTCAGATTCTTCAATTCCCATGGGCCCTTTATTCTGTTCTGCTGGCCAGAAATATGAGTTTCTCTCAGAGTCTTAGCCTTTTATGCTGTAATATAACTTTACACTATTGGAGCTGCCTTTTGGATGAAGTAAAGAAGAGAGTGAAAAAAAAATTAACAGGGATTACCCTCACATTTTTCTTATAATAGGGACCTCTTTTCCTGCTTCCTCTGGCCAAAAAGATGGATTTTCTGTTGATCAGGGCTTGCCTTGGAGTTGGGCTCAGCATCAAAAAAGAGAAAGTGTGTACATGGAGAATCCTGGATTCTCCTTATGTTTACAGGCTCAAAAGTACGTCTTTTCCTGGCCCTTTGTATAGAAAATGGGATTTTCCTTGGAATTTTTGTTGATGTCTACTGTGTAATCTTGTGACTTATTCTCTCCTCGGGTCAAATTCAGGAGATAAAGGTGGAAAATAAACCTAGGGAATTCATCAGAGTTAGTTTTCAAATTTTGATTTTCCCTAATTAATTTGTTATTGTTTCATTTTAGGAATTCTTAGGTAGTTTCTTTTTGTATTCTATATAAGGATTTTAGTTTATAATCAGGGAAGAGATAGGCTTATGAGCTTATTTCATTTTGACTGTCACAAGATACTCTAATTTACTTTTTAATTTTTTTTTCTGTTGACTTACAAATAGGCAGTGGTAAAAATCCTTTTTATCTAGGTCGTCTTCCTGTTACCTAATTTTCAAACATCTCAGGTCAGTGTTTGGCAGATTGTAAGGGTGCAGATAGGAAATATTTTAAGCTTTGCAGGCATAGGGTCTCTGTCACAACTTGTCAACTCTGCAGTTGTAGTGCAAAAGCAGCCATAGATAAGATGGAAAAAATGGGTCTGGCTGTGTTCTAGTAAAAGTTTTACAGAAACGGACAGGAGGTCAGATTTAGCTCATGGGTTATAGTTTGTAGAACCTTGATCTAAGTCCTCTACTTTACTGTTTCTTGAATTAGTGGTTAAAAAGTGAGTAGTATTACCTACTGAGCTCTGCATGTTGAATTATTTTGTTTCCATGATTACTTATATCTTTCTCCTATAGTTTATTCTTTCTTCTTTATAGTATCTCATGATGTTTAATTAACTGAATGAAAGAGGAATTCACAACAGTGCAATTATATATAACTCTTCTTATTATAATTTGCTTTGAATATACCCCCATGGTAGGTAGATTTCTGTGGCTTTTTTTTCCTTTCATAAATACTTGGTTGGGGACAATTTAATGAAAGTACATAGGTTATATACTTAGTGTATAGTTATCTGTTATTGCAGATCTGTAAACAATATGAAATTAAGCATAAAGCTCTGAAAATCAAAGTTTCTCAAGGAGAATCTGGGAACCATGTTAATAGTGTTCCTTTTCTGAGTACTTCTATGTGTCCTTTGTCCTTTTGTTTTTCAGTAAGTGTGGATCTTGTTAGATTGTGGAAGGAAATGCCTAGGGTTATATTTTTCTTAGTTATCACTCTTGTTTTAATACTCTTGAACCTCAATTTTTGAACAATGTTTTTCAGGTAAATGGTCTTAAAATGGTTGATGAGCCAATGGAAGAGGGAGAAGCAGATTCTTGTCATGTAAGTATTTATGTTAATTTATTAAGCCTCATTTTTAGCATATAAGGAAAAAGAATAAAGGGAAAGGAGAAAAACTCCTATCAAACAAACATATTCAGGTAAGTTGGTAATAGGCAAATGGAATTATTAATAACTCAACTGCAGTTTAAAATATAGGACAGGTTTTCCTGACAGAAATACTTATGCATGCATTTTTTAAAATAAACAGCTTTATTGAGACATAATTTACATGCTATTGAATTTTTAAGTGTAATGGATAAAATTTTCACTTGCCAGTGTATGAGTAACTGAATTATTATACTTAAATATAGAATCCTTTGAGAAGATTATCTTCAACCTCAGGGTAGAAAGGATATCTGACTTGGAAATACTGAACTATATAAGCATAACTTGAAATCATTTAAAATCCATTTCCTGGCTTTTAGAAAGGATTACATGTAAATTATTTCAGAAGTTTCTAACTAGTTTTAAAGACTGCTTAGCCATTGGACCATTCTATGTAATGCCTATATACTAGAGTCTTATTTTACAAGATCTAGTTTTACAAAGAGTATTCTTAAGACTTTTAGGGAGAGTCTGACTAAATCAGCATCTCCATTTGTGTTGTTATTTCATGGTTGTTATTTCTATAGATAGTTTCATAGAGTTACAGATTTTTTAAGCTGGGAAGAACCTCAGAGATATTATGTAATACTTCATTGTATGAAACCTGGAGAGTCTGTGATTTATACTAGGTGATAAAACTAGCTAGTAGCGGAATCAAGACTTAGGGCAGTGTGCTTTCTTTTCGGTCAGATATGTTGTGTAGACCCGAAGAAGTAGAAGATAAGGAGAACATTATCCTTTTTTTGTTTGGTTGTGGATGAAATCAACTTTGATGACCCCTCCACCAAAACTTGTTCATAATTGGAATTAGCTCAGTAGAAACCAGCAGAAGGATTTAAATTGGGTTTGTCTAAAACTATCCTTTGAAATGTTCTATGTAACTATTTCTGCAGATAGTAACCATGTAACAACACTTTTAATTTTGATTGACAAGATGAGAGATGCAATGTTGTCTTTGTAGCTTTTGCATTTTACTTAATATTAATAATATATTGTAATTTTGAGTATAATTAAATGTAAACTATCAAAACCATTATCTAGAGATTTGTCTAGATCATATGGACTAATAGGCATAGTAATATTAATGTTGCCAGTTTATAAAAGATAAAGGAGTATAAGGAACTATTAAAGACAGTGGAGAAGGCTGCTTATTATATTTTAGCATTAATAAATTCACAAGGACATCATGCCTCACACCACAGGGGAACAGTGTGTGTGGTGCATAAACTCAAGGACACATACACAGGATGATTGGCAAATATTTACCTTTATAATTTTAACAGAAGATAAGTCAGGAAATTCAGTTTTCAGTGCAAAGGCAGTAAAAGTATACAGTGCTAGTTACTTATATGATCTATCTTATGCAATCAACTTCAGTGGCTAAAAGGTAGAGTGTGAAATTTTGGAGAGTAAAGGACCTAGAATCACTTCCAAGGATTTGATTTAGTTTGTGGCCTGAGTTATCTGGACTTGAAACCATGTACTTTGGGTGTGTGATGGTTAAAGTACTCAATTTGTGTTGATAAAACTATATGAATGATTAAAAACACCATATATATTTATCCCTTAAAATTTTTAAATATATAGCTAGGATTTTTTTTTTTCTTTGTGATTGCCGTGTTTTTTTTTTTTTTTGTGGTTGGCCTTTTTTTTTTTTTTTTTTTTTTTTAACCATTTTAAAATAGTGTAGGATTGTAGAGACTGCTCTGTGATGGTAAGTATTTGGTAACAGGCCGCTGGTAAACTATATCTAATATCACATTTCACCACCTAGTCTCCTGCTTCTTTCAATGTCAAGGTTAGAAAAAGTATGTTATGATTTGTGTCCTTTAGTAGTTGGCTGACATGAGTTAATTTTTTATTTGTTGTCAAAATAAGCATAGCTGTCTTATATTTGGTAGTTTATGATCCATTTGTATTTTTTTTTAAACTCTACCCAGTATCTGTTTTTCCTGAAATAAAATACATATTTTTAATGCTATCAATATCTTTAAAATTTCAAAGAAGATTCAGTTAGCAATTAGATTCTTTGTTGCTTACATTAGTGCAAGGTCAGCAACATGTTTAGTCTCTAAAGTGATTTATATTTTTATTATGCATAGATATAAGTGTCATAGTTATCTGAAAATGTATATTTTGAAAAACAAATCTGATATCCTGATAGTTTTAAGCCGTGAATTTCTTATTTTAAAAACTATTCTTGACATATATCTCTTAAGAATTATTTCAAAAATACTTTTTTACAAGTGTGTTTTACTTAGACTCAGTGGAACCACGGGTAGGAACTATTTCAAGCTGAGAATGCCTGCTTCCTGTATGGTGTATATTTTTTTCCTCTATTTGTCTTTCTATTCTGATGCACATTTAGCCTTACTATGCTTCAGTATTTTTTCTCTTGCAATGCTGGTGTTTACTTCTAATTTCTATTCAGTTACTTAAAAAAGTGGAACCCTTGTCCTATAGATATGCAAAACTCTCACATGAATAATTATTGTTCAACTAAAAAATGTTGGTTAGCCACTATAAAGTGGAGTTATGCTGCACCATCAGGTATGCAAAGATAAGTGGTACAGAGGGTCTCTGACTCAGGATGGTTCAACTTATGAGTTTCAACTTTATAGTGATGCAAAAGTGATATTCATTATGTTCCTCAACTTAAAATAGGATTATGTTTGGATAAACTCACTGTAAGTTGAAAGTGCATTTTCAACTTACAATAGGTTTATTGGGACAACACTGTCATAAGTCCAGGAACATCTGTACAAATAAGTTCAGTAACTTCAATTTTTATGGATGTTTTGTGGGTTTCAGAGTTCTCAGTTGATCCGTATGACTGAGATCTGAAGTAGAGTAGGTATTACTGCCAATTTGTAGATGAGGGAACTAAGGAGCTGACCCTCGTAAGTAGAATAAACCAAACCAAGTGGGAACTAGTTTGCCAGCATTCTTTGGTTTTCAGTCATCAATGCAAACTTTTACAAACCTAAGTCTTCTGCAGATACCTTCCATTGTGTACATAATTTTGATGTGCTTAGTTCACCCTCGTGGCATTTTGGCATTTATATTGATATTACCCTTAGCCTTCTTTCAAAGTTTGCTAATATTTGACATGGTTTTCAGTGACCCGATATTATTCAGTGAATGAGAAGGGTATATCAAGCTGCTCTTCTGGGTCTTTGCATATATGTTTCAACAAATCCACAACTAAATGATTCTTGGATTTTTAGGGTGATCTTTTCAGCAAACTGGCCTGTGTACCTACAAATAAAGCAGATGTTTGAATAGATGAATGTTTTATTATTAAATAAAAATGAACAAGTTCAGGCTTTAAAAATACTTCTTTTGTTTTGATTTGTTTTCTGGAGGTTAGTTCCACAGTCATATGAAAACTGTTGTAATTGAGCTATAGTGTATTGCTATTAGGTTGTCATCAGCTTTTTCTCTTTTCAATTAACAGGTGATTTCATCTTCCTAAACAAATCAGTTATCAAATGAATGGAGCAATAGTAGATTTGACAGTTCATTTTGTACTTTAACAGTGTGTTTTCCCAGTGTTACAGCACTGTTGGCCCTCTGGATTAAAAAGATGATCACAGATTATAGAGGTCAGAGCATACTATTTTGGTTGTGGTTGAGCCTTCATACTTCTTCTATATATCACTGATTACTTTATGGTTGTGAAAAAATAATAAAACCTAATTCATAGTCTTCCTGGCCTCAGATTCAGATTTGTTATTTGATATAGAAAGACTAGGGGTCCTTATTTGGAGATTATTAAATCTTCATTTCACAGTAGCAACATTGTTTTCAAAGATCAACTAAGATTATGTACCGTGTGTAGGTTTGCTAGGGCTACCCTAACCAAATAACCACAGATGGGTGGCTTTAACAGCAGAAATTTATTTTCCCAAGATGCTGCATTCTGTAAGATTGAGATCAAGGTGTTGGCGGGGTTGGTTTTTCTGAATCGTCTCTCCTTAGCTTATAGATGAGTCTTCTCCCTGTGCCTTTACGTGGTCATTCCTCTGTGGGTGTAGGTATTCTGATTTCCTCCTCTTATAAGGATGTCAGTCATATTGGATTAGAACCCACCCATATGGCCTCATTTTACCTTAATTACTTCCTTAAGGGTCCTATCCCTAAATACAGTCATGTTCTGAGGTATTGGGAGTTAGGACTTTAATATATTAACTTTTAGGGGACATAATTTAGCCCATAGCATACTTGTAGCTTTTTGTTTCTTTGATGGATGTGATGTTTCTGACAAAGTTCTCTATCCTCAAATTCACAGTTTATTTCTGTATCCCCAGTGTGCAGCACAGTGTCTGATAATAGGATATGTGCTTAACGAATGTTGATTTGTTGGGTGAATAATAAGAGTGTATATATGGGAAGATAAGGTGATATAGCACAACTTTATCATATCAGGATAGGGAGATTTTTCAAGGATGATTTAGGAAAAAAGAAATAAATCACTTGTAAGTACATTACCACCTATTTCAGGCTAGATTGTTGTTACTGTCAAGCTTTTGGAATGGTGCAGAACCTGAAGAAAGGGAGGTGGAGGGAAGAAAGAGAGTTTCAGTTGACAAAAAAGGACATTATAATAGTAAAAAATCAATAAATATAGCCTCGGGATGGCTGAGAAATTTTAGGCAATAGACAAGAATGGGGCAGGGAGCAGATGGAGTAAGACAGAATAAGTATTGGAAATGGTGACACAGGAGGGTATCACATACTTTGAGAGTAAAAAAGAGCTATTGGCATAGAAATGATAAAAGTAATAAGTCACTATATATAAACACATACACATATGTGTATATGTGTGTGTGCACACATGTATGCACATATGTGTATTTGTGTGTATATCTATTATATATCTATATAACTATGAATCTTAGAAGCACCCAAATACTGTTTTTCAATCCTGGCCATGTGTCTGAATCAACTTGGGAGGCTTAAAAAATACACATGCTTACGTCCTCCTATAGTTCTACTGAACCACAATCTCTGAGGGTGGGACCCAAACAAGTGTAGTAAATAAATATTTCTGCTACAGGTGATTCTTATGGGCAACCAGGGCATTACAAATTGTCTGTGTGAAGGCACAGTAGTCATAATTCAGGGATATAATATGTAGTAGTTGTTGTCCTAGGAACATATGTCTTTATTTAAAAAGGCAAATGGCCAAGCATTAAGTTAATATTCAGGGGTTATTGTATCCTTTATTTGTGTTGAGTACAACACATACTCAGCACAGTGTAATAAAAATACTGACAGTGGATAATATGGAAAAAGTTTATATTCTTCACAGTGTATGGGAAGATTTGCTTATTTTATTTAGAAATATCGTTATCACAAAGTTAGTTATATTCAAAGCTGACACAATTTCATTAGCCAAAATCTCCTGTTTCCTTGTTTCCTTTATATATTTAAAAAAAGAAATTGTGGGTATATATATATTTTGTTTTGTAGACTGTATTTAAGAATAATTTTGAGATTTCTTATTAATTTTACCTTTAAAATCTTTCTTTTCTATTGTATATATTTAAGGTGTACAATGGGGTGTTTTCACATACATTGTAAAATTATTATTATTGTTAAGCAAATTAACATCCATCATCTCACAGTTGCCCTATTTGTTGGTGGTAAACACTATCTTCCTTTTAAAAAGTATGTATTTTTTCCTGTTTCTTTTATAACATTGAGCAGATTTCTTTGTCTTTCTCTGCTCTCATGAGATCAAAAAAGTATTGTGCTAAGCATTAGGACTAAAGAGATCAATGTGGTATAATACCTGAATTTAAGAAGCCCACAGTCCAGTGGGAAAGAAAGACACAGTAATTAGTTGTTAGGATACAGTGTAACATTTTATGTTGGCTGTCTCCTGGGAAAAGTAATTTTTCTCATCTAGTTGCATTTTAATATTGGGAACTTTTTAGGGTAGTGCTGCTGAAAATTGAAAGACGTTGCATTTTAGAGAATGGGCATGTGTGGATTATTAATAAAAGGTAAAAGGGCATTGGACAAACATTTTCATTTGGAAAACCTGCTTAGGTTTGGTGAAACTAACTAGAGTACAATTCGTTTCCTAACTCTGAACACTTATAAAAAAACTGATGCCATTATGATCCATGCTTATAGTGATAATCTAAACATAAGCAGGGACCTGAAGTACCTTCTTGAACATAAAAAATATTATATTGTGTTCAATATAGAGTCACAGACACTGAGGGGACCTTAGAGACCCATGTAACAAAACCCCTTTGTCATGTGAGAAAACTGAAGGAGAGAGTGGTTTGTGATTTAGCTAAGGTTTCTTAGCTTATAGGCACATACAGGTATATTATACTTTAATATAGTCCACAGATGTCAGCTACAAAGCATATATATTTGCATTAAAAAAAGTTGTTGACTTTTTAAAACAGGGACCCTTTCAAACAGGGAAATTCACTTCCATAGCAGATTGATTTTAATTTAATTTTTGTTTTCAGAAAACATTTATAAATTGCCATCACTATTTAAAAGGGTCTGGTGGAATACTATTTTGATGTGTAAGAAACACATGATAAACTCTCAGAATCAGTTATTCGTCATTTCTTGTTGATTTGCTAGTGGTTCCTGACACCTACAATTAAAATTTCTTTGCCTAGGTACCACTCTTGAGATAGTGAATGTCTGACTACCTATATTCCATGGACCTTATTTTAGCTGCCATGAAGTCTCGCTCATTTGGGACCATGCTCTTGTTCACTTTGGCTACAATCACTATTGACTAATCAGTTAATTGAAGAGTGAATAGATTGAGAACATTGTTGGCATCCATGCTAAAATTAGTATGCTCTAATGGAATGCTACCAAGATTTATAGACATTGTGATTAAGTAGTCATGTAAACTTAAATTCTGTGAGTCTTAGTTTTCTTCTTTATACAGTCAGAGAGTTGGATAAGATATCCCTTCCAACTCTGTTATTTTGTGATATACATCTGTCATCTTAGCTATTGTGCTTCTCTAGGGACTGGAATTAATTACAGCTCACTTGAATGTAGTCATCACAGCTGAGTGGAGTCCTGCATCAAGGGGAAGAACCACTCACTGGGTGGCATCCTTTCTGCTTCACCCAGGTGGTACGAAATCTGGCATATAATTTATATCTAAAATTTCAGTAAACGGGACATAGCCTGGAAACATTTGTTTGGGCTGTGCAGATTTTGTTGGTCTATGCCAGGTTCTTTGTCATTGATGTGGTTAGTTGACCATTTAAACATTTAAAATAGTATAGTGAAATACTATTTAAAAGAGCTCTTGAGGTCACGTTTTTTGTCATGCCCCACAATTTACAAGGTTTTTTCTTGACTTTTCCTGCCTCTACCTCATTAGTCACAGTCCAGTGAAGGGTCTTGAGACTGTTGTTAATAATTTTATTATATTGCTTCCAAGCTGGAAGGGAAAGCTGAAGCATAGATTTCTTTTTACATTTTATTTACATGAAATTGTGTAGTAGGGAAGGTGGTGGTAGTGCATCTGTATGTGCTGTATGTGTTAGAAAACAAGGAAATAAGGATACTGGTAGCCCATAAAACTCTCTGCTACATTGAGGAAGTTGGGTATATTATTCCTATTATGACTTCTGATTTTAAATGGAACTAATCAGAAGATGTTGAAAATGGATTCAAATATTGTTTGGATTTCTTTTTACAGGATGAAGGAGTTGTTAAAGAAATCCCTATTACTCATCATGTTAAAGAAGGCTATGAGAAAGCAGATCCTGCACAGTTTGAGTTGCTCAAGGTTCTTGGTCAGGGGTCATTTGGAAAGGTAATGAATACTTTTTTTTCCCCATTTGTTTCTCTTCTAAACATTTAGCGAAAAAAAAGTGAACACACACGTAGAAATCTGATTAATGATTTGTTTCTAAACTTCTGAAAGGATGCACACAAAGGTAATTCTTTAATTTTATTCCTTTCATTTCTGTTGTACTTTTATTACCATTTCTTTGTACTTCTCTATAACAATCAAGGTTTTCCAATTCCCTAGGCTTACTGATTTTTCTAGGGAAAAATATAGCATACTCTATTAGCTGCCTAAATCTCAGTAGCTTGATTTTTGTAAAAAACGGTATTCCTATCTCCTTGCTCACATGCTGGCATGAATACAGCTTGTTCTTTCCTGGTAATTTAATCTACATTTCTTAGCTGTGTCACAGAAATCAGAATTTATATCTTAATTCATGTATGAATTCGTCTATCATCTGTTAAAATAAAGTAGAACAAGGGTGTGTAAAGTAGAACGAGGGTAGTTACTGGGTGATATGTGGTTTGTGTCAAATTTAAGTCTTCAGAGAGCTTACATTTCAAGGCAGAAAGCAAAATTGGGTAAGATTAACTATTATAGTCATTACTAAAGTTGTTTATTAATCACTTAATAACATGGTTTTAGAAAAGAAGTGTATAGGTCTGGTTCCTAACCTTTATATACCTAACATCTAATACATAAAAAATATTACATACACATAGTAACAGCCTTGAGAAAAACAGCACCAACCACAATTTAAGGGGAGAAAGATGAAGAGAAACTACTAATTTCAAGTGGCTGAGATTTAGTTTTAAAGGGGGAAAATAAGGCAGTTGAACATAGATTATTTATAGTGCTCTGGAACATTTTAAAATAAATACATTTTTATTTTATTATTTTATTGGGTTTTAGAGATGGGGTCTTGCTCTGTCAGCCAGGCTGTAGTGCAGTGGCATGATTGTAGTTCACGGTAGCCTTGAACTCCTGGGCTCAAGTGATCCTCCATCCCCAGCTTCCCAAGGAGCTGTTCCTACAGCCATGCACCACCACACCCAGCTAATTAAAAAAAAAATCTGGACACAAGGTTTTGCTGTGTTGCTCAGGCTGGTCTTGAACTCCTAGCCTTAAGTGATCTTGCCACTTTAGCCTCCCAAGGAAAGACATTTATTGAATGCTCGGTGTGTTCACCAACAGTTGTATAAGCAGTGTTAGTGACTATAAAATAGATGTCGTCTTAAAGAAACCTAATATTTATGCATTATAGAACATAAAGTGAAATATAAAGAAACATTTTTAGGGCACAAAAAGGACAAACTGAGATGAATTATGGCTTGGCAGTGAATTGGTACAGGAGATATATAAGACAAGGAGATGGGACTTGAACAGTGTTCTGAGGAGAGAAAAACTAGAAGGAACTGTAAATAGATTGGTGGTGGTGGTGGTGGTGCTGATCATGATGTCGGTGGGGAGTGTTTGTAGAACTGATCTCTAGAGTAGGCATGTATATTATATACAATTTTATTTTAGAGTTTCTAAAAGTGCAATATTCTTTTAACTATTTTGCACTTTATAGCTATTTTTATGGTGTTAATTTTAGAAGAACAGAGACGAAGTTGTTTTATATTCCAGATGTATAAATGCTTAAATATTTCACTTAAATAAAATATCACCAGGCAAACATTTCAAGCTATTAAAATTACCTACTTTGTCTTTTGGTGTATGTATTTACTCATACATGCTTTTGTTTATCTCCAGCTTTGTTCCAGAAAGAATTTAAGGCTTTCATAGATGAATACTAAATAAAATTAAAAATAAGTAGTGAAGATGATGGAAACAGAAAACGCAGAGCAGGAAAGATTAGATGAAGCCAGGAGTACACTCTGTTCACAAAAGCATGACATAAGGGTCTGTAAGTCTTTTTCTAGTAGGTCAAAAATTAAGACTTAAGTTTTCCAGCAGCCATTATAAAGAAGCTAATATATTTGAGTGTATTATAATTGACAGTATTTTAAAGGTGGAAACAGATTAAACAGAGCAGAGAAATTTCTCTCATGGGTTTTCGTAAAGAAAATACTGTATAACATAATGAAATATATTCAGTAACATCTTCATGTTAAATATAGCAACATGCTGAAAAGTTGTCAATGTAGTCCTTAAATTCAGGGAAATCTCAGCTGTGTCTGTGCTGGGATTTAGTTTTAAGAAGAGTATCATTGAAACCTTTTAATTCCTAATATTAAAATACAAAATAGTGATCTTTATGTAGTTAATCAACCAAAGAAATATTAAGGAGGTGGCTTTTTTTCTCCCTAGGATGTGAACATACTTGCTTGTCAGTGTTACATCATTTGCGTAGGTATTGTGTAGGTGTGACTTGTTATATGCTGAACCTATTCAGGAATTTGGCCAAGACTGTGAATCAGATAAGTGTAGGAGCAATTCCAAGAGACTCTGAGCTGCAGAGTCTTAAGTTTTTCTTCAAAAGTTCTGTTGTTAAAATGCAGTAAATGGGATTTTAGCCCATATAAAGCCTTAAAACATTAAATGTTTTTATTGTCTATTTAACAGTGGGGGAACCCTGCTAAAGTCAACTTAAAATTGTAGTTTAAGGAAGCATGCATTATTATCACGAAAGGTGCATGTAATATTCTGTCCTAAGCACACCAAGTATAATGCTATTAATGATCATTAATGTATGGGTTGAAAGGTATACTAAACAACTTACATTAATTATTTTAAAACACAAACACATGAAAATACCTTTGAAATTGTCTGATTAGTCATCGTTATATATCATGTGCCAAATAATATTTATACAAAACATACATTTTAACATTTGTGGATTATTAAAAAAAATTTGCTTTTGTGATAGTAAAGACTTTAACTACACTTAAAAATGAATTTTTGAAAATATTGAATACTTGTATTCTTAAATAAGTGATCGACTCTCAAGTGATAGTTTTTAAAAACATTTGCTTACATCTTAAAATTTCCTGAAGTTGGTTCTTTCTCTTCAATCAGCATTTAAATATGTGTGATCTTCTAGTTCACTACAATTACTGAATATTCTTATAGGAAAATATAAACGTCCGTGTGATTGAGAGAAAAGTACATTGGAGTAACTCACCCATTCTTCTGGACAATATCCCATGATTGGATTAGGGTGACTGAAAAGAAGCCTCTTTTATCAATATAGATACGGTTTTAGGTACAGTAGTTTGAAGCCATGCAACAACTTTTTTACTTTAATTATTTCTTTAAGCACCGTATCCCCAAATACAGTCATGTTCTGAGGTACTGGGAGTTAGGACTTTAACATACCAACTTTGAGGGGACGTAATTTAGCCTGTAGCATACTTGTATTTGTTTCTTTGAAGGACATGATGTTTCTGACAAATTTCTCTGTCCTCAAGTTCACAGTTTATTTCTGTATCCCCCAGTGTGCAGCACAGTGTCTGATACAGAATATGTGCTTAATGAGTGTTAATTTGTTGATTGAATAACTAATGAGTACATATATGGGAAGATAAGGTGATATAGCACAACTTTATTATACCAGGTTAAGGAAATTTTTCAAGGATGATTTATCTTAGGAAAAAAGAAATAGATCACTGATAAGTATAATATCACCTTATTTCAAATTAGATTGTTACTACTGTTAAGCTTTTGGAATGGTGCAGAACCTGAAGAAAGTGAGGTGGAAGGAGGAGGGAGAATTTCAGATGACAAAAAAGACATTATAATAGTAAAGATCAATAAACATAACCTTGGGAAGGTTGAGAAATGTTAGGCAATAGATAAGAATGGGGTGGAAAAAGAACTACTTTTGTAGTTGATTTTGGGAAGGGGGCAGTGAGATATGATATTTTCTCACGCTAGGAAAGTCACTCATAAGACCTGAAAAAAAAAAAAAAAAAAAACAGATCAGATGATAAACAGGTTACTTCTCTAGACTGTGAATGATGCATCCTGTTAAATGCCATATTGAGATACTAGTGAATGTTAGAAGAAGTAGGGGGAAAAAGTGGCTCCTTTATGCAGCAATGTCTTCAGAAAAACTAGACAATCTCTTTCTTTCTTCCTTGCTTGCGTCTTCTCACTCTTCATACTCCATTCTTTACAATCCCACTGAGGGCTATGTTTTGTAAGAGTGGTTCTGAAATTTTAGTCTACATACCCCTGCACAATCCCAGGACCTTTTCAGGGAGTCCTCAAGTCAAAGCTACTTTACAGTCATCCTAAGATACTATTTGTACAACTGCTGGCATGTTGGCCAATCAAGGCAGTGACTTCAAATGGTACCAGTAGTCATTGTATTCTTCATTTTCTTACATATACAGTTTAAGAATGTCCTTGATGAGACATTAACAGTTATTACATTTATTAAATCTCAATCCTTGAATACCCTTTTTTTGAATAATCTGTGATGAAATAGGAAGTACATGTTAAGCCCTTTAGCCACATAACAAAATAGAATGATTGTCTCAAGGCAGAGGACTTGTGCAAACTTTCTGAGTTGTGAGCTGAACCAACCATTGTTTTCATGGATCACTACTTTTCCTTGAAAGGACAATAAACTATGGTTACCTAAATATGCTTATTTGGTAGGTGTTTTCTCAAAAATGAATGGAGTGAGCCTGTTCATAGAAAAACAACTGATACTCTTTTTGTCAATGGTAGAAACTGAGCTTTCCAGCAAATAATTGAATTTAGGCAGATGTTTATTTGCCACATTGACGTTGTTATCTTCTTAATGCAGCTATACCTCTTTTTATTATGCTTCACTTCATTGCACTTCACAGATATCCTTCACTTCATTGTGCTTCACAGATATTATGTATGTGTGTGAATATATATATGTGTGTGTGTGTGTGTGTATATATGTGTGTGTGTGTGTATAGAAGGTTTGTGGTAACCCTGTGTTGAGTAAGACTTTGGGTGCCATTTTTCCTCCAGCATATGCTCACTTTCTGTCTCTGTCTCATATTTTGGTAATTCTTGCAGTGTTTTAAATGTTTTCCTTACTGTTACATCTGTTATGGTTCTTTGTGATCTGTGATCTTTGATGTTAGTGTTATCATTGTTTCAGGGTGCCGTGAACCACACACACATAAGACAGTGAGCTTCATTGATAACCGGTGTGTGTGTTCTGGCTGCTTTACTGACCAGCTGTTTCCCCATCTCTCTGTCTTCTTGGGCCCCTCTATTCCTTGACCTACAAGAATATTGAAATTGATCTAAATAGTAACTCTACAGTGGCCTTGAAGTGTTCAAGGGAAGGGAAGTGTTCTGCATTTCTTACTTTAAATCAACAGCTACAAATTATTAAGCTTGGTGAGGAAGGCATGTCAAAATCTGAGATAGGCTAAAAGCTAAGGTTCTTGTGCCAAACAGATAGCCAAGTTGTGAATGCAAGGGAATGTTCTTGAAAGAAATTAAAATTGCTACTCCAGCGAACATATGAATAATAAGAAAATGAAACAGCTTTATTACTGATATGGAGAAAATTTTAGTGGTCTAAATAGAAGATCAAACCAGCCACAACACTCCCTCAAGCCAAAGCCTAGTCTAGAGCAATTCCCTAGCTCTCTTCAATTCTGTGAAGGCTGAGAGAGGTGAAGAAGCTACACAAGAAAAGTTTGAAGCTAGCAGGGGTTGGCTCATGATAAGGAAAGAAGCCATTTTTGTAACATAAAAGTTCAGGGTAATGCTACAGATGCTGATATAAAAGCTATAGCAGGTTAGCCAGAAGATCTAGCTAAGATAATTGATAAAGGTGGTTACACTAAACAACAGGTTTTAATTGTAGAAGCAGCAGCCTTCTATTGGAAGAAGATGCCATCTAGTCTTTCATAGCTAGAGCGAAGTCAGTGCCCAGCTTCATAGCTTCGAAGGACAGGCTGCCTCTCTTGATAGAGGCTAGTGATCCTGGAACCTTTAAGTTGAAGCCAGTGCTCATTTGCCATTCCAAAAATTCTAGGGCCCTTAAAAATTATGTTAAATCTACTATGCCTTTTGTCTATAAATAGAACAACAAAGCCTGAATGACAGCACATCTGTTTATAGCATGGTGTGCTGAGTATTTTAAACCCACTGTTGAGACCTACTGTTCAGGAAAAAAAAAAAGACATTTTTCAGCATATTACTGCTCATTGGCAATGCTCCTAGTTACCCAAGAGCCCTGATGGAGATGTACAAGGAGATTAATGTTGTTTTCATGCTTGCTATTACAATATCCATTCTGCAGCTCATGGAACAAAGAATAATTTGGACTTTCAAGTCCTATTGTTTAAGAAATACATTTTGTAAGGCTATAGTTGCTGTAGATGATGATTGCTCTGATGAGTCTGGGCAAAGCAAATTGAAAACCTCTGGATGGGACTTGCTATTCTAGATGTCATTAAGAACATTTGTGATTCATGGGAGGAAGTCAAAATATCAACATTAACAGGAGTTTGGAAGAAGTTGATTCCAACCCTCATGGATTACTTGGAGGGGTTCAAGACATCATTGGAGGAAATCACTGCAGATGTGGTAGAAATAATAGCAAGACAACTAAAATTAGAAGTGATATACACCATGGAATACTATGCAGCCATAAAAAAGGATGAGTTTGTATCCTTTGTAGGGACATGGATGCAGCTGGAAACTATCATTCTTAGCAAACTATCGCAAGAACAGAAAACCAAACACCGCATGTTCTCACTCATAGGTGAGAACTGAACAATGAGATCACTTGGACTCGGGAAGGGGAACATCATACGCCGGGGCCTATCATGGGGAGGGAGGAGGGGGGAAGGATTGCAAATGATGAACAAACTTCATCATTGTCTTATTTTAGGAAATTGCCACAGCCACCCTAACCTTCAGCATCCACCACCCTGATCACTCAGCTGCCATCAACATTGAGGCAAGACCCTCCACCCGCAATAAGATTATAGCTCACTGAAGACTCAGATGATCGTTAGCATTTTTTAGCAATAAAGCATATTTAATTAAGGTATATAGGGTCATAAGATTTGTTTGCTCTTTATTAAGGTAACAAAAAGTGGGCCTGGGTCTTAAAAGGAGGTATGTAGCTCAAGTTTGTCTTTCATTGTGTTATTTATCTCTTACATCATTAAATTCTCCGAGTTCAGGACCAGGTCATCTATTTAAAAAATTTTCCTTTCTATAGTAGTACTTATATACATTATGATTTATTAAATCTAAGGAAAGTGAGAAAACATTAATAATGTAAATTACAGCATAATTTACAGGAGAAAGTATAACTTTTTTCATTTTTTTTTAATTGACAAATAGTTGTACATATTCATGGGGTACGTAGTGAAGTTTCGATACATATAATGTATGGTGATCAGATCAGGGTAATTTTGCATCCTTCAACAAATCTCTCACTATCTCTCCTTTCCCTCTATGGGAAGGCATATGTTTATAAAATTAGAGAAAATGCAAGGATACAAGTGTATGCTGGTGTGTTTGTATAGAGCAAGAATGACTAGAAATGTGAATTTTCCTTTTTTTTTTTTTTTTTTTTGTTCAATTTTCTATTAGGTTTTTCTTGTTAGAAAGAAGACCGGTCCTGATGCTGGGCAACTCTATGCAATGAAGGTGTTAAAAAAAGCCTCTTTAAAAGGTAGAAAATTAGAAAGTTTATTAAAATAGAATTTGGCAAAGCGTATTTTAAGAAATATGCTGTGTATTACTTGCATAAGGTGAATAGATGTAGCTATTTTTAACATTGGCATTTGTGACAGTTTTTCTAGCCAGTAGGTAATATTACTAGATATTGATATTGGCATATGCCTTAACTTAGTGAGAGTGCACCCTAGTAAAAATTCGATGCTAGAAAAAGTGACATATTTCATTTAATTTAAGCTTATTAACTTAATTGGGCTATACTCTTTTCTTTCAAGATTCTTGACTTTTGCTTTTCTGTCTGTGTCAGTATTTTGAGAAAGCACAACCATTTGCACGCACTATCTTTTAGGGTCTGATAAAAATACTGCTTATGATCACTTTTAATCAGTAAACTCATTTGAACAATTAAAGAGATCAATAGTCCAGGCATGGTGGCTCACACCTATAATCCTAACACTTTGAGAGGCTGAGGCGGGCTGAACCCGTGAGCCCAGCCCAGGAGTTCAAGACCAGCCTGAGTAACCTGGTGAAACCCTGTCTCTACAAAAAATACAAAAATGGGCCAGGTGTAGTGGCACGCACCTGTAGTTCCAGCTGCTTGGGAAGCTGAGATGGGAGGATTGCTTGAGCTTGGGAGGTGGAGGTTGCAGTGAGCTGAGATTTTGCCACTGCAGTCCAGCCTGGGCAAGAGAGCAATACCCTGTCTCACCACCAACAACAACCAAAAAAGATGAACACATAATAAATGCATATTCGCTACATACCTATTTATGCCACCTTAACCTGTCTCTAGATGTAATGAATATTTTTGCTTTCTGAGAATATGGTCATTATTATCTAGGAATATGAAAACTGCAAATTTAGGCATTTATGAAGTTACATTTTATATATTTATATTTGTTGTTTGGTAAATTATTGATGGACTCTTAATTGAAATGATATGAGAGTAAAAATTGTACCTTTATGTAATTTTTAGTTCGAGACAGAGTTCGGACAAAGATGGAGAGGGATATACTGGTGGAAGTAAATCATCCATTTATTGTCAAATTGCACTATGGTATGTAATCTTTCTTTTATTCTTTTATTTATTTTAATCCTTATTTATTAATATGGAATTAGAGAATTACGATTTCCTTTCACACAATACTATAACAGGAAATAAGTACTTTAGACTTATTTAGTATATTCAACTATGTAAAATGTATTTTTCTGAAATAAATACCAGTATTTAGTTATTTGTTGTATGTCCTTCATTTTTCCAAGTTGGTTAACTTGTTTAAAGTAACAAGATAGTGTTTTCCACTTACTTGTCTGGTAGTATTTATGTACTCTACTAGGCTGTAACTTCATAGTCTTAGACTATAAAGTATTGTGATAATTTACGTAAAACATTCAGTTGCTTGTTCATAATGACCACACTTATCTATTACCTGGTTATATTCTAGAGGACCGTGTAGTTATGTTAGTCTGCTTGAGTTATTTTTTATACTTAATGGAAAAGAACTACTAGTAAGAAGCAGTAGATGTAATGGAAAGAACATGAGCTTTGGAGTTAGACATTTCTCAATTTGAATCATGGCTCCATTGCTAATTTAACATATGGATGAGATCAACTTTATCTGTCTATCTATCTATCTGTCTGTCTGTCTATCTATCTATCTATCTATCTATCTATCATCTATCTATCTATCTATCTATCTATCTATCTATCTATCTATCTATCTATCTATCTATCTCAGATATAGTGTACTTTGTCACTTCCATTTTTCTATATTTAAAAAAAGTAGCAGTCGTTGATTTTATTCTTAGTGTAATTTCGACAAATGATGCATTAAAATATATACCCAATTATCACTATTAAAAACTGATAAGAAATTTCCACCCATTATTCTTTTACTCCTTGTTATACTAACAGAATAAAAAAAGTAACGTCTAAAGACCTTCCCGAATCTGTAGTAGGTCAATCAGTAAATGCTTATTGTGTGCAAAAATATTGTATTAAATTCAGTGGACACTCTTTGACCTCAAGAAATTTATAACCTATAGAGAGCACAGAGATGTAAAGAAATTAATTGTACAAATGAAAATTGAATAAGTACTATTAAAGAGGTATAAATATAATAAGATTTCAAAAGTAGCAGCAAGTAATTTCAATGAAGAAGAGGTTAAGGAAGCTGTGGAAAAATGTGAAAAGGGAGACATCCTGGAAAGTTTAATAGAGGAAGTGGCATTTTTCTTCAGCTTTATAGAATTCGTAAATTTTCAGTAGGTTTGATAGGCTAAGTTTAGGCAATTGCAGTAGAACATGCTTCATAAATTAGGAAATTTTTGGTGGTAGAAGTTCTGTGTAAAGCCACATTCGGGGTGATTATGTTCTGGGAAGGGGTTTATAGCTATTTCAACACTGGATTAAACACTGGGTTTAATTTTGAGATGTTATCCATTAATGGACCATGTGAGTAAATACTGTGAAATTCTAAACATATATTAATTTAAAAACATACTAAGCTTTTTAAGCCTTTGAGATTATCCGGTTACTACATTCTAATTTTTAATTAGCCTTTCAGACTGAAGGGAAACTGTACTTAATACTGGATTTTCTCAGGGGAGGAGATGTTTTCACAAGATTATCCAAAGAGGTAAGTAGCTGTACATTTTTACTGTATTTTCTTGAAACAAAACTAAGAAAAATATCACTTTTGTTCTTCCACTAATTACATTTTTCCTATTGAAATTTTAAATGGTAACTACTCTGTTTGTTTCATTGCATAGTATTTGGTAATGTGCCTGATAATGGCATTTTCTATCATCTCAATGTGCTACTCATTTTCTTAGGCAGAAGAGCAATATGAATAACTGGATAAAGTAGATACGGGCAAGCCTAGGACTTTGGCTACTCAAGCTACCTAAACACCTCTGGGAGTAGTGTTTATTCATTTTAAAATAGCTTTATGGAGGTATAATTGACATACAATAAACTGTACATACTAAAGTATACAATTTTATAAGTTTTTACATTTGTATATAACTGTGAAACCATCATTACCATAAGAGTAATTAGCATATCTGTCATTCCTTAAAGTTTTCTTGTGTCCCTTTGTGATACCGTCTTCCTGCCCTAACCCTGCTGAATCTGCTTTCTGTCACTATTTGGTTTGTATTTTCTAGGAGTTTATATAAATGGAATCATATAGTATATTCATTTTTTTTTTTGTCTGGCTTAACATAATTATTTTGAGATTCGTCTATGTTGTATGTACTAAGTATTCATTTTTATTGATGGGTGGTATTACTGATTGTATGGATACGTCATGATTTGTTTATCATTCACCTGTTGATGGATTTTTGGGCCATTGCAGTTTTTGATATTACTAATAAAACTGCTGTAAACATTCATGTACAAGTGATTGTATCATATGTTTTCATATCTCATGGGTAAATACCTAAGAGTATAATGACTGGGTCATGTGCTAGGTGTATGTTTAACTTTTAAAGACACTGCCAAACTGTTTTCCAAAGTGATTATATAAATTTTACATTCCCACCAGCAGCGTAAGAGAGTTTCAGTTGCTCCACATCCTTGCCAACATTTGGTATGGTCAGTCTTTTAAAATTTTTGAACATTAGATTAGTTTTTAGTGGTATCCCATTGTGGTTTTGAATTACGTCACACTAATGACTAATGATATTGAGCATCTTTTCATGAGCTCATTTGCCATCTATCCTCTTGGTAAAATGTCTGTTTAAATTTTTAGCCTGTTTTTTTAGTTGGAATGTTTGTTTTCTTATTGAGTTTTGAGAGTTCTTCATATATTTTGGATGTAAGTCCTTGATCATATATGTTATTTGGAAATATTTTCTTCTGGTCTATAGTATGTCTTTTCATTCTCTTAACACTGTATTGAAAAGCAGAAGTTCTTAATTTTGATGAAGTCTGATTTATAGGATTTTTTTCCTTTTATTAATTGTGTTTTTAGTGTTCTATATAAGGAATATCTGCCTAATTACAGGTAAAGATTTTCTGTTATGTTTTCTAGAGGTTTTGTAGTTTGAATTTTACATCTAGATTTAGGATCCGTTTTGAGTTCATTTTAGTATATGGTTATAGGTATGTGCAGAAGTCCTTTTCTTTTGTTCACATAGATATCCAGTTGTTCTAGCATCATTGTGGGAGAAGTCTGTCTTTTCTTCCCTGAATCACCTTACATTTTTCTTGAAAACCAATTGATCATATATATGAAGGCCTATTTCTGGATACTCTATTCTGTTCATTGGTCCATTTGTCTATCTTTATTACAATTATACACTGTCTGAATTACTGTATCTTTATAATATGTCTTGAAGTGAGGTAGTGCAAATCCTTGAGCTTTGCTTTTCTTTTTGAAAGTTTAGCTCTTCTAGGTCCTTTGCATTTCCATATCAATTTTAAAATCAGCTTTTCACTTTCTACAAAAATGCCCTGCTGGGGTATTGGTTGGGATTTTATTGAACGTATAGGTCAATTTGCAGATAAGTTACATTTTAGTAATATTGAGTCTTTTAATTCATGAACATGATATCTTTCTCAGTTTATTTAGGTCATCTTTAATTTCTCGCAGTATTGTTTTCAGTGTAATTCTTGCACTTCTTTTGTCAGATTTACCTCTAAGTAAATCCTGTTTTTAATGTTATTGTAAATAGAGTTGACTTCCTAATATCAGTTTTAAATTGGGTGGAAACACAGTCAATTTTTTGTGTATTGAGCTTGTTTCCCACAGTCTAGCCAAACTTAATACTTCTAGCAGCCTTTAGCAATAGATTTCAAAGGTTGAGAAAGATTTCTGTAACTGTTTTTTGAGAGTTTTATAAAAAATCAGAAATCAATTTTAGATTTATTCAAATGCTTTTTCTTCATTTATTGAGATTATAATTTTTTTAGTCTTACTGTGATGAATTACATTGATTGATAGATGTTGAACCAACCTTGCATTTATGGATGAACCCCACTTCATCTTGATGTATTAACCTTTTTATAAAGTTGGGTGGTATTTGCTGAAAATTTGTTAAGAAGTTTTGCATCTATTTTTATGAGGGATATTTGTGATTTCCTTGTATTATTTTGTCTATTTTTGGTGTTAGAGTAATTCTGACTCCATAGAATGAGTTGGGTATAGTTTTTGCCTCTTTAACTTTCTAGGAAAGTTTGTGTAGATTCAATGATAAATTGCCCTTAAATGATTGATAGAATTCACCAGTGAAGGCATCTGAACCTGAAGTTTTTCTTACAGGAAAGTATTTAACTACAAAATCAATTTATATAATAGACTTGCGTTATTTCTTTTGGAGTGAGCTTTGATAACTTATGTCTTTTAAGGAATTTGTCTATTTCATCAAAATTACTAAATTTATTGGCATAAAAATGTTCATAATATTCCCTTATTGTCCTTTTTGTAATTGTGGAATTGTTAGTGATGTCACTGCTCTCACTTTTGATGTTGGTAATTCATGTTTACTCTGTTTTTGTTCTCCTTAGCCTCACTAGAGATTTTATCAATTTTATTACTCTCAAAGAAACAGCTTTTGGTTTCATTAATTTTTCTGTATTCTATTTCTGTTTTCTATTACATTGTTTTCTGCTTTAATCTTTTTTTCTGCTTATTTTGTGTTTCATTAGCTTTTCTTTTTCTGGTTTTTAAGATGGGAGCTGAAGTTATTAATTTGAGGCCTTTCTTCTTTTCTAATAACGTAGATGTTTTGTGTTGTAAATTCCCCTCTGAGTACTGCCTTAGGGTCATCCCACAAGTTTTGATATGTGTCACTTTTATTTTCTCTCAGTTCAATGTACTTTATGATTTCCTTTCTATTTCTTTGACCCATTGGATATTTAGAAGTCCACTTAATTTACAAGTATTTGGGCATTCTTCCACATATCTTTCTATTGTTGATTTCTACCGTAATGTTGTTGTGGTCATAAGACATACATTGTATGACTTTAACTCTCTTACTTTTATTTGCTTTATGCTTCAGAATATCATGTATCTTGGTAAATGTTGCATGTCCACTTGAGAAGAATGTGTATTCTGCTATTTTTGGGTGGTGGAAGGTTCTGTAAATGTGGATTTTTAGTTGTTTCAAGTTGTTTGATAGTGATATTAAATTGCCTATATTCTTTCTAATTTTATGCCTATTCTACAAATTTTTGAGACAAGGATTGACACCTTTTACTTTAATTATGAATTTGTATATATCTTCTTGAATTTCTGTCAGTTTTTGTTTCATGTGTTTCAAAGTTCTGTTATTAGGTACATAAGCCTTTAGGGTTATTATTCCCTCTTGATGAATTGACCCCTTCATCATCATGAGATGACATGACTGACTTTGTCCCTGGTAATGTTCTTTTCTTCAAAATCTAATTTGATACTTATATGGTCACTCCAACTGTTTTCTAAAAAAGTATTGTTAGTTTGGTATATCTTTTTTCATATTTTAACTTTAGCCTATTTGTGTCTTTATATTTAATGTGTGGTACTTAAGGAAGCATAATTTCCTTGTTTTTTAATCCAGTCTGAGAGTGTGTCTTCTAATTGGGATATTAGTCCTGTTACATTTTACGATTATTTTTGCAGTTGTATTTAAATCTACCATCTTGCTATTCGGGATTATTTTTGTCCCATTTGTTCTTTGTTCTTTTTTCCTTCTTCTCCTGGCTTCTTTTTAATTACTTTTTTTTTTTTTTTTTTACAATTTCATTATTATCTCTGCTGTTGATTTATGAATATTATCCATAACACTTTATTGTGTAATTTAATAGTTGCCTTAGGATTTGTAGTATAAGTTTTAACTCAGAGGTCAGGAAAATATGGTCTTCAGGCTAAATTTGGCCACTTTTCTTTGTAAATAATGTTTCATTGGAACATAACCATACTCATTTGTTTAAGTATTGTCTGTTCCTTATGTTGTACTTCAATGGAATCATACTTGCATAGTCATTTTTACTGGATAGCAGGCATGGTGGATTTAATTTTCTTACATACTGGATACCTTTATTTTCATATAAGTAGCATTTAGCTTTTTTCTAGGATGCAGTTCATTGTCTTGTAAACACTTTGATCATTTTGGGCCTTGTGTTTAAGCTTTAGTCATGTGGGACTAGGGAAGTATTTCGTTTAAGATTAATTTTTCCTCAGTATTGAAGCATGTCCTTTCTTATACTCTAACAAACACTCTTTGAATTATGAGGCTTTTCACTCTCCCTTTTGGGAAGAGGAGCTATCTCAGTTGTTTGTGAGCTGAGTGGGCTCTTTCTTTTTATCTTTTAAGGTTTTTCTCTTCCTGGACTTGGGCTTGGGTAGTTTCCTCGGATCCATGTTTGACTATGTATATGTATATATATGTGTGTGTGTGTGTGTGTGTGTGTGTGTGTGTTTTGAGATGGAGTCTCAGTCTGTTGCCTCGGCTGGAGTGCAGTGGCGTGGTCTCAGCTCACTGCAACCTCTGCCTCCCGGCTTCAGGTGATTCTCCTGCCTCAGCCTCCTGCATAGTTGGGACTACAGGTGCACAATTAGCCTGGCTAATTCTTGTATTTTTAGTAGAGATGGGGTTTCACCATGTTGGCCAGGCTGGTCTCAAACTCCTGACCTCAAGTGATCTGCCTGCCTTT